CTGTCTTAGAAGGAAGTCCTCCGGTCACAGTCCAGATAACCTTCAGATAACCACAGCCAAATTGACATCTTGACTATGACCTCACGAAAGACCCTGATTTGGTTGGAATCACCCAACTAAGCCACTTCCAGATTTCTGGTCCTCAGAAGCCAGATGACATCATAAATATTACACTTCAGGCAATTGATTACATGGCAACAGATAAATAATATGCACAAATTTTATTTCTATTAAGCATCGCTGATCTTGAACTTAAAAAAGAAACAAAAAATAAAGGAATCCTCTAGAGCAGAGGCTCCTACCCCTGGCTGCACATTAAAATCACTTGAAAAACTTTTTTAAATAGCTGATGCCCAAGACCCACCCGAGACCGTTGAGTCAGAGTCTCTTGGGTTGGAGCCTCAGCACCTGATTTTGTAAAAGTTACCCGGGTGAGGTGAGCGTTCAGCCCAGGCTGAGACCCCTGCTCTAAAAAAATCGACTCTCCAATGTCATTGAGGTTAAGGCTACAGATCATCTGAGGCGTGGCCACTCCGGGTGTGCCTCAGAATCCACCTGGGAGCTGTTAGAAAGGCCAGTTCTTGGGCCCCAGCCCAGGAGGACCAAGCCAGAACCTGCATTTTTATACGATCTCCAGGGAATTTGGATGCACACTGCAGTTTGAGAAGCACTGACTTAGGGTATCAGTTCAGAACCGGTCCTCAGAACCCTCACACTCCAGATTCCTGCTATAGGCACCCATATTCCAGAATCTGTTCTCCCATAAGCGTTTATTAAGCTTGTCTTGTGCATGAGCTCCCTCACCGAGGGATTCTGACATAACTGGTGTGGGTGGGGCTGAGCCACGGAGAACCTTGTGGAAGTTCTCCCCAGGGGAGTCTAAGCTGCAGCATCGGTGGTAAGACGGAAGATGCCCCCAATTGCCTCTCAGTCCATTCTTTCTCTGTGTCACTCATCTCACCATAAAACTGACAGTCGAGAGTTTAAAAATGACTTTTTTCCATTCAACACGAACCCTACAAGCCAACTGCCCCCTGTAGAATTTACATGAAGAAGCAGCAATTTCTTCCAACTCTAAAGAGGGGAAACTTGCCTCGTGGATGTACCCAGTGCTAATATGCACGTCTCAATGATGTGCTTTCCTAAGGGAGTTCCAACAGGAATGCTGAGGACAGTAACCATCGCCTGAGTAACACCCTTCAGAACCCACCCCGGCAAGATACACCACCACCATGTAGCAAGACCTAAATTTGATAATAACTAACTCCAAACTCCTCTTCGTACATCAGCTCGCTTCCTGGCTCGCAGTTTAAGGATTCTTTTATCTCTTAGTTCCTTTATTTTCCTTTTTCCTTGCTGACAGTCTTTATCAAACCAAGAATTGCTGTGACAAAATCCACCTTGACCCAAACCAAAATGAGCCAGCAAAGCCCGTTTTAAGTCGCTGACAGCTCCATTGATAGTGGGTGAGGGGTAAACTGAGGACATTTCCTGGCATTTCAAGAGGGTCTCAAAAAAGTGACTTCCACCAATTTGAAAACTTCATTCCTCTCTGCAATACCGGCCTTCTCTGAGATGCAACCATGAGTGTGAAAAACCTGGTCATACCTATGACTAAGGTGGAAAGGATAGCATCACTTTGTCCCTGCTGAATAAGACAGGCTAACTGCAATACAATGGACAGCACCATCTTCTTCAAGCTGCTTACCATAATTTGTAATATCTACTTGTCTGCTTGTTTTCCACATCTCCTCTCTGATCATAACCCTATCCGGGCAGGAGCCATGTTGGTCTTACTCCATACCTTCTTCCTACTTAGCCTAGGATCTGGGACATAGTAGGCACCAAGTCAATGTTTGGTGAATGAAGGATTGAATGGAAAATTTCCCCAGATCCACGCCACTCAGAAATACTAGACTCTATAAATCCACTGGTGAGGAATTGTCCTGTCAGCTTGATACAGCTGTCTAGAGGAGATATGATCTTTAGGAAACGGAGTGGTTCAAGCTGGCCCCGCAAGCCCTCCACCAAACCTCATATTCTGGCCTCAGGCATTATTATAACTGACTTCAACTACGTGATGGAAATAAAGGATTCTGACCATCACATACATCCCAAGGTCCAAGCAGACTGCACATACCAGACCAGAGAGATGTGAATCAACTTTAAACCAGGTCCAGCCTCTCTGGTTCCCAAATCCACAAAGGAAAGAGCTCTGTGTCCTGTCCTAGGCACTACGTATAGCCACTTTCCATTTTAGGGTGCCTGTAAGATATGCCCAGCTAACTTGTGTCTTCCCCCTCCACCCCCCACTGTTAGAGTGTGAGTCCCTCAAGGCAGGGTCTGTATCTCATTCATCTGCATCTCCCTCTTGGGTGGCGCATAATAGATGCTCAAGAAACATTTGTGGGATGAACACACATGTGAATGTCAGGGCTGTGGGGCTAACCATGGGGACGATGGTTTAGAAGGAGAGCAAGTAGGGTATTTTCTTAGCCTGACTCAGGGAGAGAGGCTCACCCCAGAGAGAGAGAGAAAATATAAGGAACTCAAAAGAGGTGCTGAAAAGAAGAGGTGTAACTCTGAAAACTTCCCTCTTAGAGGCATGGTTCTTCATCCATACTGTGAGGGGTTTGGACCAGATGATCTCTGGGGTTACAGCAAAGCGAACAGAGCATCAGGTTCCAGAGCTGGACTCACCTGGGTTTGACCGCTGCTTCTTCAGCAGATTAGCTGGGTGACCTGCTACCTCCCTGGGCGCATCTCCTCAGCTATAAAGTGGTGTCAGTGACCCCGGTTGACTGGGCTGTTGGGTGGATTAAGTGAGGCAGTTCCTGTACAGCCCTTGGCTCCATGGTCTCCACTCCTCTCTGCTGCTTCAGCCCCTGAAGACCCTGTCCTCATTCGTACCTGCCACCGCAGGTGTCCGTCACAGCTCTCTCTGCTGCAAGAGGAAGGAAACCTGCCCCCCTCCCAATGCAACAACTCCTTTAGCCGCCAAGGAGGGGGCTGGCTTCTGTGGGACTCTGGCCCCCTGACCACAAAGGATACACAGCAGGCATTTCACTGTGCATCAGCCACTGGGTTACTTTCCTCCTGGCACAGAGGAGAACTCCCTCTCCCGGCCCCCTTGCATCTAGGCAGGGGCATATGACTCATTCTGGCCACAGATTATGAACAGAAATTACTTAACCACTTTCATGGCTGACTCATTAAAATTCCCTCCTTTTATCTCTCCTCTTCCCTGGAAAACTTGAAGCCCACAGTTTGAGGATGGTAGCATCACAGTCAGGTGGGAGCCTGGGGCCCCTAATGACTGTCCAGCTGCATTGACCATGACATAGGTAAGCAATGAAGCTCCCACGATTTGAGGGTTTTCTTGTGACTGCAGCAGAGGCAGACTCCCCTAGGTCAGTCAGACAGCCTGACCTGTCCAAGGGGCACAGCTCCCAAAGCAGGACAGGGGGCCTTTACCTGGTTCCCATCATCTCAGGGCGAGTCCCTCACTCTCCTGACTCTCCTTGAGGCTCATCCTCCCCTCCCCAACCCTCTGCAAGAAGGTCTGGATTCTAACACCCCAACTCAGGTTTGCAGGCCCTCCCAGGGCATCTGTCACCCTCGTGTAGATGGTACCTTGTTGCCAGCATGGAACCTCGGAGCTCGCCTAGAGAGTGCTTAGATGAGACCATGCAGTGACATCCACTATACTCCTTCGGTCTGGGCCTCAGTTTCCACACACACCATAAGGACCACAGAAGACCTCTCCCACTCTGATATTTGCAAGCCCAGAAAAAGCACATCAGACAGGGCCTGCCCACTGCTGACACCCGGGGGCCCGCGCCCTGGCCACACCTCCCACTTACACGTGAACTATAAATTCTCTTGGCTGAGTAAACACATTTTATGGGGCCCGGGGACACTTCCTAGCTATACAGCTCACCCCCTCTTCCCTTGTCCTCCTCAGACCTGGCTGCCTCCTCGGCGCGGCACCTCCCCAGGGCCCCTAGTTCCCATCCTCCGTCTTCCCTCTGCCTCCGACTCCTTTCCCCCGACACCTGCATCCCTGGCCTGAAGTGGGTGGAGAGTTTCTTCTCTTATCAGCCGTTTTACTGCCCCCTCCTCCTTGGTTACACAGTAATTGGGAACAGAACTCCTGGCAAGGACGGGTCAATGCCTGTCAGCTCCCAGCCGATGGTTTACTGGACAGAGAGAAAGGGTCCCTTCAGTGCTGTCTTGGGAGGCAGGTAAGGGGCATGCAAGCAGGAAAAGAGAAGAAAGGAGAGGCACCTCTGGCCAGGAGCCTGTGGAGAGACCTGTGCAGTTGAAGTCGGAGAGAGATCGGAACAAAGTGATGGCCAGACCAGAGATGCCAGGGGAGATTAAGACACCAGTGCTCAGCACAGCCCTGTCCCAGGGAGACAGCCTGGCCCTGACCCAGTGACCCCCTTCCTCAGCCTCCACCTGCAGGACAGCGGAAGTACTGCGCTCCGGAAGGCCTATTCTGGAATCTGGGAGCGACGGAAGCGAAAAAAATCCAGGACAGTTTCCTGAGGCCCATTGGTGGCACGCCAGCCTTCCAGAGGCCTGGCTGGAGCCAGCAGGAAGGGCCACCAGCCGGGGGAAGGGCAAAGGTGGATGCCTGGCCTTCGGATCCCCTGGGGGAGGAGGGGAGGCGCCCTCTTCCTGCCAGCTCTTTGTCGTGTTCCCCACTGGCCGTGACCTCAGGGCCCCGGCCTAGGCTGGGGACAGTGCAAGTGACCACCCTGGAGAAGATCCTCTGAAGTAAGGCTGGACCCAGCTTGGCAGTGGTGTCTCCTGTGACATCAAGCCACCGAGGGCTCTGAGTCCGTGGGCACGGGGCCCAGCCCCTTCCAGCTTTCCCGACGTGACCCCCCTCCTTGATCCAAGGGGTTTCTGAGGTGACCCAGGGAAGTCCCATGTTTGGATAAACTGACATGAGGATCCCTGTTCCCCACCTCTGCTCGCCCCCTTGACTCCAGGAGTTTCAGGAAAGGAAGGAAGCCGCTCTCCACTGGCATCGCCCGGGGCACCCACAGAGCCCCCCCTGCCCACCTCGCTGTGGCCTGGGCCCTGCTCTCCAGGGGGCTATGGAGAACTCTGGGTGCTGCGAGGCCCCGAAGAAGCTGGGCCTGTCCTTCTCTATTGAGGAGATCCTGAGGCCTGCTGAGCGGAGCGATGTGGCCAGGCCAGAAGGGGCAGGTGGCCAGGGCCCTGGGCGAGCAGCTGCGGCAGACTCCAGGCTTGGGAGACCCCCGCAGGACCAGCCCCAGGGTAAGTGTCTTCTGGCCATTTCTTATCCACTCCCGGGCCTCCCAGATCCAGCTGGGCTGAGGCAGAAAGTTGCTCTGAATCAACAAAAGAGAAAACTTCAGAATTCAAAGAGATGTCAGGCACTGGGCTGGTCATCTTAAATACCTTTCTCACTAGCTCAGAACTGGGGTTGTTCCGTCGTGGACACCAAGGCTCAGTGAATGGCCAGATGTGGGGACCTGGGCCTTGTCCCTGTAACCAGGCCACAGTGGAGAACACTAGTTACTACTTACTTATTCAGCACTTCCGGTGTGGTCGGCACCGTCCCAGAGGCTGCGCATGTCTCTTCTTTAACTTCAGCAGAAAAACGTAATTATCATAACTCGACAGATGAGGAAACTCATCCGTGAAAGGGAGGAGGTGGGTGATGCCCCCAGGTCACACAGTCACAAAGCAGAGGACCCAGATCCCACTGCCTCCAAACACCTGCCTGGTCTGGCATGTTCTTTCCCTTGTTGGCAGCTGGCACGGCCTCTAGTGGCTGTGGCTGCCTACCCTGATCACACCCCAGGCCAGTGCCAGCGCCAGAGCGTGTCCTCAAGTCACAATGACCAGATCTCGGGCCTCTCCTTGAGAGCTGGCTCAAGGAGGGCATGGAAGGGGACACACACACACCACTGAGAGTCAGGAATCCACGGTCAGTCTTGGCTCTCCCCTGGCCCTGCTGCGCCACCTCAGCAAAGTCCCTGCCCACTCTGGCCTCGGTTTCATCCTCAGGGAGATGGCTGAGTGAGGGAAGAGGACGAGGAGCCGGGGATGTCTCCAGGGGCCACTGGAATCTGATAGGCGATGAGCCCGGAGGATCTCACAAGAGGCACCTGGTCCTCTGGTCTTTCCACCCTTTCAATCCAAGAAGAAGCTCAGTGGGGCCGTGATGTCTTCCCCAATTATCCACGGAGCCCCATTCTCTCCCTCCTCCAGATTCCCAAGATGGGGCTTACGTGTAGCAGCAGAGCAAGGGGAAGACCCTGGAGGGGCCCACGCATCCCTGGGGAACTGGAGGGTTTCCCAGTAGCTGAGCCTGTCAACAGGAAAGGGTCCCAGTTTAATTTTCAGAAGTTTGTTAATATCTTCCAGTGAATTGAGTGAGCATTCACAGAAACAATGCCTCTGAGAGTCTAACCTGAGTCTCTCCTGATGCAGCTACATAAAATCTATATCTGAGAGAGAGAGAGGAAAGGTCTTACATCCCCTACCAGAGTAGCTTCCCTTCCCCTAGCCTGACAATGGCAGATGACAAAACAAAGGACAAAAAAAAATTTAAAAATAAAGGAAGCCATTCATTCTAAACTTCCCTGAAGATGCTGGCATGTCCCATATCAACGAGCCTGCTAGGCCCAGAGCAGAGCCCCCAGTAAGTTCTTGACAAAATGTTAGTTGTAAGATTAGACAGTGCCCCGTGGCTCTCTCGGCCATCTCGTGGCCATTGCTCCATCCACCTGTCACAACTGTGAGCCTCACCTCACAGATGATAAAACCAAGATGAGAAGACAAATCACCTGCAAAAACCACATGAGGAGTTAGCACTAGAATCGAATGCTGGTGGCCTGAGACCATCCGTTCTAGGTTACTCCTGAACATGGCCTAAATCCATACCTCTCCCCGCTGGGCTGGACTCCAGCATTTCCAAAAGACTAGTGAGGGTCCCCCTGGTGGTTTGCAAGATGACTCTGAGGGGCAGGCAAAGATTTTTTTAGGTCAATAGTTCTGTAATTATTTCTTTTTTTTTAATAGAAGTATAGTCAATTTACAATGTTGTGTTAGTTTCTGGCGTACAACATAGCAATTCATATATATATGTGTGTATGTATATATATGTATATACATGTATATAGTCCTTTTCAGGTTCTTTTTCATTGTATGCTATTAGAAGATATTGAATGTAGTTCCCTGTGTTATACTGTAGGACCTTGCTGTTTCTCTGTCTTATGTATAGTAGTTAATATCTGCAAATCCACAACCCCTAGTCTATCCTTCCAATTACACTCACCTTCTGTTGATGACTCACGATACCACTTACCCGTTGATGGTCATGAGGTGAGGTTTTCTTTTCAAATGAATATTTATTTAGGTAAAAGCAAAAAGTCCATGTCAATGCTACACAAATAATAATGCAGATGGGAGGCCAGCATGTCAGACACCGTAAAGGTAACTTGCAGGATCTACAAAGGAGCAGGAATCCGTGAGACGCTGGGCGGGGGCAGGGAGGGCGGGGAGCTGGGATTCCAGAAACCTGGCCTCTAAGAGCCGGTCTGGCACTGATGCGCAGGCAGATCTCAGGAAAGCTGCTCCCCGCACTGGGCCTCGGTTTCCTCTTCTGAAACACAAGAGAGCAGAACTAGAACGTTCCCTCCCTGCTCTGACATGCCGTGGCCAATTCTGCAAGGAGCCGGTGGCTGCAAAGCCTTGGTGGGGTCACTCGTGGTCATTTGCCACAGCAGAAGCTCCCTCTCTCCAGAGGATGTCTCCACACCAGGCAGGGCAAACCGGCTCACCACCTCCCTCTCCCTCCCTGCCCCCCAGGGGGCCCCACCCCCACCAGGGCTGGTGGCCGAGCTAATGATTCTCCACCACTCTGTCCCGTTCCCCCCACCCACATACAGTATGCAGGACGCCTCAGGGAATGGGCAACAGGGCAGAAATGGTGCATCCAAGGCCCTCCCCTCCTCGGACAATAACAACAGAGAATAAATTCCTCTTTGTCTCCACTTAAAACTTAAAGGGCTTCAGGGATTGCCTCAGGGACCTCTGGGTCCCAATCACCCAGGGAGCTCATGGAAAGCCGCAGTCCAAGCCCCGCACCTAAGATTCTGCCTCTAGGTCTAGGGCGAGGCCCAGGAGTCTATTCCAGCAAACTCTCCCAAATGATTCTGATGCAGGTGGTCCAAGGACCATTTTGTGAGGAGGCGGGAGCCCAGGGAGGCAAAGCAGCTCGTTCTGTGCTCCAAGCCAGTACGCCCCAGACCCAGGGCCAGGGCAGTGACCCAGGCCAAGGCCGGTGCCAGCCATCCATCACTTCTCATGGCAGGGACCAAGGCTGCACCTCCCTACATCTTCCCTCTCTTATAGGGATCCTCATAATCTAAGGCCTGGACCCTCCCCAGTCTGATGCCCATGGAGAAATTCAAGAGGGTCTCTCAATTTGAAGGGATGCTGAGCTCAGCTGCCCACTCATGCCTCCTGAGAGAGGCAAGTTCCCCAGAGCCCGGGGACCCTCCAAAGTCAAGGAAGACCCAGGTGGGAGGAAGCCACTTCGTACTAGAGGCTCAGACCCTGGGAAGAGAGAGATCATCTCTGCACCTGTCCCACTGACGACCCTTTACAAGGACATGGTGACACCTGAGGGAAGAGGGGAGGAGATGCACAGGGAAGAGACCACCTCAGTGGGTAAAGCAGGACAGATCTTAGGGCCTGGAGGAGACCCCGATATCTTCTGTCCTCCATTCATAGGTCATTCAGTCACTCAGTGAATCACCGCTGACTGATTACTCTGAGCCAGGCTGGGGGCTGGGGAGGCGGTGGTGAACAGAACCAGACGTAGTGACCACCCACCTAGAGTGGGGGTGGGGTCAGCAGCAATAAGAGTCATGGTGACACTACCTTGGGACAGTGCCGACTTCTGCTCGTCTTGTCGGGTCGGGGTGACCAGGGGCACCATAGAATTCCTGGGATTGGCAGAATATCCTGTTGCAGGGTTGGCAGTGTTTCTATAAGGGGCCACATAGTAATCTGAAGCTTTGGTGGCTAGATGGTCTCTGTTGCAATTACTCAACCCTACTGTCATAGCTGAAAAGTAGACAACGTGTAAATGAACAGGTATGTTCATGTTCCAATAAAACTTTATTAAAACTGCTGTATAGCACAAGGAACTGCATTCAGTTTCTTGTAATAATATGTAATGGACAAGAATCCAAAAAGAAAAAATGTTTATATGTATGTATACGTACAACTGAATCACTTTACTGTACACCTGAAACTAACATTGTAAATCAAATACACTTCAATAAAAGAGAAAAAATTTAACTTTATTGGAACAAGAACAGGCAGAGGGCAGAGATCCTCCAGGCACATGGAGCATCCCTCTGACCGACTTCTGAACCTTCGTGTCCTTTGCCCTTTAGAAGCCCTTGCTCTTGTCCCCCTTCCTCTTCTTCCTTTTCCTCTTCTTTCCCTCATCCTCGCCCTCTGTCTGAGTTTCCTGCACCTGTTGTATCAAATTACCACTAACTGAGTGGCTTAAAACATCAGAAAGTTATCGTCCTACAGTTCTGGAGCCAGAAGTCCAAAACCAAGGTGTTGGCAGGGCTGGTTCCTTCTGGAGGCCCTGAGGGAAAACGTTCAGTGCCTCTCTCCCAGCTTCTGGTGGCAGCCAACACGCTGTCTTTGGCTTATAGACAAGTCACTCCAACCTCTGCCTCCATCGCCACCTGCCTTTGCCTCTGAGTCTGTGTCGAATCTCCCTCTCCTTTCCCTCATGAGGAACCAGCCGTTGGACTTAGGGCCCACCCGAAACACAGGAGGATCTCATCTCAAGAGCCTTAGTTATACCTACAAAGATACTATTTCCAAATAAGGTCACATTCGCAGGTACCAGGGTTTAGGACTAGGACCTACCTTCTCGGAGGGAACACAATTCAACCCACTTCATCTTCCCTCACTTCTTTGTCCCTCCCATCTTCCTCTTTGTCCCCTCTATCCCCTGCCCCCATCCTCTTTCTTTTCACTCCCTTCCCATCCTTCTTCTCCTTCCTGTCCCTCTCTTCCTCCTCCTCCTCTGCACTGCCTAGAACCAAAATCAGAGACTCAGCTCTAAGCCCTGGGAAAGGGAGCCCTGGTTTAGGGCTGTGGCCACCACCTAGATGCGTCTCATTGACTTGTCAGTAAAGACTCTGGCTCTCAGACAGATAGACGCAGTATCTTCCACGAGAGCAGACAGGAGCAGAAAGGATGCAGAGCTAAGT